ATGGCACGTGGAAATAGAAAAATCCACTCCGGTGGGCGAAATAAAGTGTTCGGATCGAAATTCCAATCAACTGAAGAAGGCCGGAGCGTACAACGGCTCAAAACGCCGTGAAGATGAAGACAACCGCATGAACAGTGTAAATAGTGTAAATAATTACGACACAATAAATCAATCTTTTTTTTCTTTCTACAACATTCCTTTTTTTTTTATTCTCTGGAATTATGCTTAATTCCTTATTCAATTTGTATTTTTAACTATTTTCATTTATGAATTCTTTTTAATTCTTGGTATATATATATATATATATATATATATATATATATATATATATATATATATATATATATATATATATGAGAAGGACAACTCTGAATTCAAAACCTGCGGAGGGTCGTTTGGAAACCTTGTGGCATTCGGTGCACCAGGTCTCTGTATTCGTCCCATCAAAAGTGTGGATGTTCCTGCACAAGGCCTTCACCACTATAATCAAATCTCATGTGCCGGTGTCAAGCTGTCGGTTTTCTGGAAACTGATCTGCTTGACCCTCATACGTCGAATCTCGACGGGAGAGTCGATTATATATATATATATATATATATATATATATATATATAATTTGTGCGAGTATGTTCTTTCGTATTTCAGCCATTTCTTATTTTCTTCTTCCTCTGATGAGTTCTAAATATTCTTTCTTTCTTCTGTTGACTTTATTCTTATTTCTTACACTTTTTCTTTTTCTACCGTTTTCTTTCTTCTCGTTACATTTATTACCCTCTCTTCCTTTTTTCTTTTCTTTCTTTCTTCTGTTGATTATTATCGTAGTCCCTTTTTCTTACACTTTTTTCTTCTAATCTTTTCTTTCTTCTCTTTATATACTTCTATTTAATAACATCATATTCTTTCTTTTTTCTTTTCTTTCTTTCTTTCTTCTTGTTATGTCTTCATTGCATTGAATGAAGATAACACAATCAAGAATAACTTGGATGCGACATAGTCTTGCTGAAATAGGTTGTAAGCAGATTAACTAGATCTCTTGTTTACTCCTCTTTCTACTGAATATTCTCGGTGTCAGTCTGTGTGTATTTGGACGAGTCCAAGTCTTCTGAAAAGGTGTTTTTATTTCCACAACAGTTTTTCTTTGTTGTAAGCGCCTCCTCTTTCGACTACTCATCATTAATACATCCTTAAAGAAGACAGCACTTCATCAAACTCTATTGACTTGCGCTACATAATCTTATAAAAGAGCTTTAAAAAATAATAAAAAAAAGCATCACATGAACACTTTCAATAACAGAAAAATATGAAGCACATGTAACTTTAAGAGATAATAAGTTGATAACTTTTCACATTGCAAAAAATAAAAAGGTTGGAAGGAAACTCCTAACAATGCTATAGCCGTTAATGGGCTTGGAAAACTGTTTTAATAAAAATATTTAAGAAATTAAATCGACAGTCACACGGTCTTGGAAAGCCGAATGTTTCATGTATAGGTCAGACTAATCATATCAAAATTATTAGCATTCATTTTACTATTATTTTTTTATTTATTCATAAGCTTAATTCACTTCCCTTAAGCCACTTTGGTAAAGTGGGAATTAATCGGTGAGGCACTATTTTTTTTTTCTAAAAGTAATAATTCGGCCATCATTTACCCAATCACTTACAGTCGTTAGTCCGGATAAGTTTAAAACCAGCATTCATATTTTATATTTCCACAATGGAAAATCCAGATCGATTTCATCAATAAACTGATTTTCTTTTGGATTACTGATTTGAAATCGACTCTTGATGAAGTCATCATTTTTATTACTTCCTTTTCTTTCTTCGGCCGATTTACTCGGAAGTCTCTGGATAAGTAAATGAATAACTGCCGACGTAAAGCCAACATAACTGCAAGACTTCAAATTTAATGTCGTCCTATTATTTAAAGGTAACACTTACTCACGAAATCATTTAATGTACGAACCTTAGTAGAGACATCGGCAAGATGATTCACATGCAGAGAATATATTTTCAGTTGCTGTTTATGTAATTCGTGATATCATAGGTAGGAATCATCCTATAGAGACGCCAAAACATTCATTCGCTCTAATGACTATCTATGCCGTTCTATTGGTAGGAACGCAATTAACAAAATGGCGTTGATATAACGTTTTTATAACATAACAAAGAAGCTGCAAAAAGACTTTTAGCAGACATCAATACTTTGCATTGTAATGCTATATTAACAGATAATGGACAATAAATGCAGGGGAAATATTAGAACGTGCATTCATTATCTAAATTAGTGATTCTCAATTAAATAAATACGAAAAGAAATGTTATACCTTTTATGCATATTGTTAAGTGTAATGCTGATTGACAAGTACAGAGTTTTTTCCGCTATAGAAATGTTACCATAAATCTGTGATAACGTTGGGAATGGACAGTGAGTTTGGGGCAAAGAAAATAGTTGTTACACTAACGTCGCTACAATGTCACATATCCGTCAATTAAAATACAACTCGTCTGCAAATTTTCTAGAACCGTCCGTGTTCACTGAGTGTACTGCCAATAAGGGATAAGAGTTCATAGTTTAATTTGAACTTTATTGGAATGTTGACATTAGTTATCTCTTTTACCGACTTTATCACGGCTCCATCAAGTGTTAGTCATTTTTTGCACTAATTCTTTTATTAACCTGGAGGAATATATATATATATATATATATATATATATATATATAATATGGACTTAGTGGTTAGAACATTCGCATTCTGACCATGAGATCCGTGGTCGAATCTCATCATGGTCGATTTGTCAGGAAGGAGACTGGAGGGGTCGATCCCAGCGTGTGGCACCTTTGGAAAGTGTCTGAAAACCATACCAAGCCTTGACAATAGTTGACAACAGTTGAAAACAGTTGACAATAGCAAAAAAATTAGATTAATTATTTATTACAAAAAATTTAAAACCTCTAACCCTTGTAGTTAAAAATGATAATTCACCTCTTAGAACAAAATTAAATAGGGCAAATATTATTTACGAATTAAAATTACCATTAAGGAATTGTATTCCTGATCAATCAAAATTCGTAAATAATTATATAGGTAATACTACAACGTGTTTGACATGCAGACTCACTCTACACCTTTAAACTGACCATAGCTCAATTAGATCGCATTTAAATATACATGGTGATCTACAGAAGACTATTCGTAAAATACTTCTTGACAGCACTAATATAATAGTATCATCTACATGCATAAAAAAGGCTAAAAATAATGGAAGCCTTTATAAATAATAAAAAAAACACAACAATAATATCAACTATGAACATGGGCACAATATCTTGACCGTGTTTTGAAAAATGAAAACATTTTATAAAACATACATACATCAAACTATTTCTTATTTAACAGTTAAAATATTTAATCCTTGTAAATGACTAAATGTATAGCCGAAAGCGCTCGTGATAAAAAGAACTTTCGGACAATTTTTATATAATTTATCATCTGAAAAGAAGAAAAATAGATCGCATGAGAAATTGTATTAAAAACTAAATCAAAGCACCTTGTCTACCATATTGAATGAAATGGGCATGAAAGAAGTATTGCTGCCTAAATACACACACACACACACACACACACACACATATACACACACATATATATATATATATATATATATATGTGTGTGTGTGTGTGTGTGATTGTGTGTGTGTCTGTGTGTGTGTGTGTGTGTATTTTGTGACTTTGGTGTACAACGAAAATAGTCCGGGAAATATGAATAGCAAACCAACAAGTGTTGTTAAGGAAGCAGCGGAGATAGTTAGAAAAACAAAGAATTTGTGTCGACAAAGTGAAATATGCAAAATCAAGACGAGATCTGGACAAAAAGATGAGAATAATGTTCCTAAATATCAAGAGATTAAATTAGATGAGCTATTTTAAACAATGAAACAGAAAAATATAAATTTTCTGGTAGCTTTTTTCTATTCTTTCTGAGTAGAAAAAAACTACCAGAAAAAACAAGACCTTGAAACATATTGGATCTGCGAAACATAAATAAAAACAAACAAAAACACGTAAGTAACGAAATGTAGAGACTATGTTAAGTAGTATGTAAGCTTGTATGCTTTGAAAATAAAAATACTAATCTTCACCGTAGCAGTTAAGAATGATTTAAATAAGATCTGTACTTCAAAATATAGAATGTAGAAAAATACCATGCGAAGATAGCATAATAGCAGACCTTTTGAAAGATACATTTAACGATGTTCACAACGGATTTGCCCAATTATTTACCTTGTGCCTCTCAAAAATAAACATTCTTGAATACTTTGCAATAGTAATGTTACTTTACAAAGAAAACAAGATAAGAACAAACTTGGTGTACTATCGAACATATACAAATTAATCTCAGTAGTATGGACCCGAGGAGGCACGGTGGAGTAACGGATTGAGGAATCGGAGTGCCGAGTTCGAATTCCAGCCGAATCCATTACATTCACTTACGTGCTAATACCCTTGGGAAAGATATGAATTCGCTTCTGCAACATCTCCTTACTTCATTCGCGAATGAAGCCTATCAAGACAGGCTAGGCTCTATCTGCTCTACGACATAGAGAAAATAGCAACCTATTGCGAGAAAAATATGTCTCGTCAGTCATGTATAGAGAGATATATGATCGTCTAAGCGTTTACCACGCATGGCAGATAACTGACTATGTATGGACACACGTATGCGATAGATTAATTTAAAAAAAAAAAAAATAGGTACTCAAACGATATACCATCAACAAAAAATTAATAAACTGAGAGAAGAAATAAAAAAAAAAAAAATGACGAAAATAACAAACCACTTTATATTTGTTAGCTAATGTACAATAACTTGATTTGGTAGGACTATCGACAGTCTTTAAAATCCCTACGAGAGCAGAATATCAACAGAAACTATATAAAACTTAATGAGAATATATACGTTAAGTAGTAATTTGACTAGACAAAAAACAGCTTTTTGTTAAAACATCGGCTCTCACACGATCACTGAAGTTAAGCAACGTCGAGACCAGACAGTACCTAGATGGGTGACCGTTTGGGAATACCAGGTGCTGTAAGCTTGGATGTGCGGGTGGTGTAATGGACCATGGCTCGCAATTGCTAATCGGAGAGCAGAGTTCCAATTCCAATCGGGTTTGTTATATTCACGCACAAATACATCTGAGAAATGTATGAATCCACCTCTTTTTCCTCACAGCTATAGGTTAATTAGTAGGAATTGTATCACTAAAATATTATTATCTCCCCCCTCCAAAAAATAAAATTCTTACAATCTAAAAATATTTTCTGGTATTAAATAACCTGCAAAGAAAGAATTGATAAACCTAAGAAAACGAACGATCGAATCAATCAACAGACAAAAACAACAAAATAAAGATTGGAAAATATTAATCGTTATGTTAATATTAACCGTTTCCTTATAAGGAAACATTCGGCAACCAGATTTACCGTCGGTTGAAATTTATCAGGAAATTGAAAAATATCAGGAAAATAGATTTCTCAAGACCACTGTTATCGTTCTTTCTAGTGTTGAGTGGGAGAGGAGACTTCCTTTCTAACTTTTTGTTTGAAGTAGTGTGGAACATCAACATCTTGATGATATCATTATTTTATCGTCAAGCTACCTGTGACATCCATTTTAGTTGTTGCTGTTGTTAAATCTTGACTTAGGATTTTTTTTTTTATTTGGTACAGTTATTTGTTTGTGATATCAAGAGGTTCGAAGAAGGACTGACAGGCTTCTTTCACGAGCGAAGTAAGGAGATATAATTTTACTTCAACTATCTATCGTAGATCTTGAAAACATCTATCGGGAAATGAACTGAGAAGAGGCGTAGGCAAGGTAGCGCAGAGAGTATTGAAACCATTTATGATCTACTGACAATATTTTCTTATTACCTGATTTATTATTGTGGATTATCTGAAATACTAAATGACCTAAATACAGAACTTCGCGTTGTAGAGTTAAAAATGAACAGAAATAAAAAATAATGTTTAGCTTTAATTTTCCTAAAAATATTATTGAAATAGATGAAAAACTGGAAGGATTCCAGGAATATATATATCACAGGTCCCGGCAGTAAAGAAAACGGAAATAAATTAAAAAGGACTTATGATGATGGCGTGAAAATTATTTAAAAAAAAAAAAATAGAAAAAGCACTTTGCGAATATGCTTAAAAAGCAGAGTGTATAAGGAATGTATGATGTCATCGTCTTCTTTTATGCGTCGTGTAAGGACGTAAGCGATCATGGCTCTCCCCATTTTCCTGTTCATTGTAGCGCTTAATAAGTTTTGTCTTTTGTTATTTCTCCCAAATCCTGTTCTACCATCCATTTGCTTAAGTTCAGTCAAGTATATTACACGCTGCTTTCCTCTGCTCCACTTTTCCTCAAACTTTCCTGTGAGTATCAGATTTTCCAAACACTCCTTTCTCATTACATGCCCCCCAAATTTAAATTGCCTCTTCTTGATGTTAAGTATAAATGTCCTTTTTGTTTCCATTTTCTACAAAACCTTGTCGTTGCTCACATGTTCTGTCAATGGTACCCTCAGCATTTTTTCGAACTACATTTCTGTACCTTCAAGTCTCTTCTTCATCTTTGACGAGATTGTCCACCATTTGCTGCCATATAGGAGCACGTGACAGTTCAATACTCTTTTTTTTGTGTTTCCAACGAAATTTTCTGTCTCTTAATACTCTTCTTAGCTTTTGCAATACGTCTTTGGTCACTCCAATACGTCTTCACGGGTGCTAAACCTGAAAATGAATTAAATCGTTTGCAAACAAAGTTAAACGTTGACAAGAATCAATGGAAATATCAATGTTTGTAATAATGCTAAGAAATCTATAGGTATGAACATGGATCAGAGGTAAAAGAACTCACAGACATGATTAAGCGATAAATAGGAAGGTGGACAGGACATGGAGCAAGGAGAAAGGAGATTAAATGGAGTTAAAGGTTGTTCCATTGCAATTTGATTGCTAGACGTAGTTATGGTCAGTAAATTTTATATTGACATAAGTTGTTTATGTAGTTTGTGATATCATCTCCAGAATTTTGTTAAAGGAATATTTAAAAAGTTTCATACACTTTAATCTTTACAAGTACAGCGACATCTTAAATGCTTCTGGAAGGAGGATTATGAAGCAATAATTAGGGTTTTATTTTGGTCTTAAGTACTCTTCTGACGACTATAATTAGGAAAATGTTTAATTTTCTTCTTTTAAAGGTATCCATTGATTTTACTGCTTCTCTAATTCCCTCCGCTTTTTTTAAGGAATTTTCTGCATTGACAGTTTAAATATTTCTGGCAATAAAGGTAAAACTGATAATAGCTACCCACCGAATTAAGAGATGACCTACTATCACTTGATCTTAAATGAAGGCTATTAGATTCCTCTGGTGTTGAGGTATAATTCTACTAATAATCAGATTTAACGTAGCATATACAGAATTCGGCCGACAGGAAGGCCCATTTTCTTATTTCCGGTTTCTTGTGGACACCGAGAAGACTCACTCCATTACTGTCAACACTAAAATGCCTTTAAATCCAAATTACAACGAAGAAAATATCTTTCAACATTGCTCACGTCTCTATCTACTTTCCCTCCGCCATCGACATCGACCACATCGTCCCCGCTATTTTACCTTCGATTCTCGCCGGTCTGTGCCTTGACGCATGCGCGTGTAAACCTCTCACATCTTACTTTTCAACATCCGACTTCCTGTATCCGGAGAGAGGGAGATGTGAAGTGAATTTCACAGATTTCCTCTCCTTTTCAATCTCATCATCAGCCTATTTTTTTTTTCTTTTGTAGTTACCACAACTCTTTAAAAGTTTTAACAGCCATTAAAAAAAAAAGATTTTTCGGGGTTCTCATCTCATAGAATTCAGTGATGACTTGAAAAAATGTAATTAACATTGTAGGGATATTTTACTACTGTATCTTTTCTGTTTGGTTGACTGTTTGATTTGATAAACTTGCATCATTAAAGATATATTTTTATCTTGAAAACTATTCCCAAATAACTCTTTTCGTCGGCCACTCTGCTCTTTGGATGGAAATGTCAAAGAATAAATAAAACTGAGAAATTAACAAAAAAACAAAACAAAAAAACAAAACATCATAACATGATTTTGAATGGCATTTTTTTTAATCAGTTTACAAGGTGATAAGGTCAATAAAGCGCGGGGGTACTTAGGGTGAAAGAATCAGAAAGAAATCCTTAATGAGAGAGGGCAATAAGAGAACACGATTCAAGGCGACAGAAGATGACGATAAAGAGACAGGAGAAGAGAATTCAAGGAGACAGAAGATGACGATAAAGAGACAGAAGAAGAGAATAAAAGAACAAGATTCAAGGAGACAGAAGATGACGATAAAGAGACAGAAGAAGAGAATAAAAGGACAAGATTCAAGGAGACAGAAGATGACGATAAAGAGACAGAAGAAGAGAATAAAAGGACAAGCTTCAAGGAGACAGAAGATGACGATAAAGAGACAGAAGAAGAGAATAAAAGAACAAGATTCAAGGAGACAGATGATGACGATAAAGAGACAGAAGAAGAGAATAAAAGGACAAGCTTCAAGGAGACAGAAGATGACGATAAAGAGACAGAAGAAGAGAATAAAAGAACAAGATTCAAGGAGACAGAAGACAGTGACAAGTTTCTTATTTGAAGTTCAGACAGCAAACGGAATTCCCGAAAGACCCCATTAAAGCTACATTAGAAAATTAAATGCCCTAAATATGGGTTTTTAAAAAAAAGTAAAATTTAAAAAGTTTAGGAAAATTATTTAATAAGAGAAAAATAAAGAAAATGGATATTATTCTTCGTACTTTTTTTTCATAGCTTCATTTTGAATCTTCCTTCATTTTTCTTTCCCTCTTTTATTTTACTTTTCTTATTCTTCTTCTTTTTCATATTGTGTATTCTTTATTCGTCGTTCATCAATTCTAGTCTTCTTTATTTTCTCTCTCATCATTCCCTTTTTTTACTTTTCGCACTTTGTTTTCTCATTCCTCTATCAACGTACTTTCCTTGCTCATCCTCTTCCCCCTTCCCACTCTCCCATTTATAAATGTTCTTCTTTCCTACTTTTCCAGGAATCCATTCTTTTCCTCTCGCCTCTTTACATTCACCAACCCCACAAGCAATATCTTCATCATTAAAATGTTCTGCATCTGGAAGTTGAGAGTTAAAAGCGCTTGGTGAAAAGGAAGAGAGAGAGAGAGAGAGAGAGAGAGAGAGAGAGAGAGATGGAGGGAGGGAGAAAGTGAGAGAGTAAGAGTAAGAGTGAAAGAAGAAGGAGAAATAGGAAGAAAGAATATGACACAGTAATTCAATTGCTGGGACACAATTTCATTAGATTCCATTACTGCGTTCCGGTTCTTGTCAAAGGCGGTTGGTCGGCCGGTCAGACATCAGCTGAATCTTGTTAGAAGAGGAATAGCTTTGTACTGACAAGGACTTTTACTTTCTTTACTTCTCTCTGTTGCGTAATATCTATCTATCTATCTATCTATCTATCTATCTATCTATCTATCTATCTATCTATCTATCTATCCCACTCTGCTCCTATCTATCTATCTATCTATCTATCTATCTATCTATCTATCTATCTATCTATCTATCTATCTATCTCATTGTTTTCATAGCTATCCTAGTCTATTCATATATGGAGAAAGAATGAAAAATAGAAGAATGAAGATAAAGAGGGTGATTAAAAGAAAAAAGAAAAAGAAAGGAAAAAGAGGATGAAGAAAATGTAGAGAGAAAAGTAACCAAAATCATTCCTATATCTATCTATCTATCTATCTATCTATCTATCTATCTATCTATCTATCTATCTATCTATCTCATTGTTTTCATAGCTATCCTAGTCTGTTCATATATGGAGAAAGAAAGAAAAAAAATAGAAGGATGAAGACAGAGGAGGATTAAAAGAAGAAAGAAAAAGAAATGAAAGAAGAGGATGAATAAACGTAAATAACCAAAATCATTCCTATCTATCTATCTATCTATCTATCTATCTATCTATCTATCTAAGTC